AGAGAGAGAGAGAGAGAGAGAGAGAGAGAGAGAGAGAGAGAGAGAGAGAGAGAGAGAGAATGAGAGAATGAAACTAACTAAAACAAAAACTGAGAAGGAGGAGAAAAAAAATCCTGTGGTTTAACCGTTCTATTTGATTATTATTACATCTTCTGACAAAAAAAAACCATTTAATTTCGTTTTGATTCGATGCAATCACCAGATCAGAGGTTAATAGAGCATTGGATCGTGTGGCCATTGTGTAATAAATACCAATGAAAATGAATCGAAAACAAACAAATAAAATTGTCGATCGTTAAGGAATTATGGATCACAAGTGTGCGACGGTACAGGCTAATGAAACTAGCGAGCTCAAGATGAAAGCTAAAAAAAAATTATAAGGTGTACAGAGCTAAGCACGATATAGTCCAATATTTGGTTCATATACGTGTGGTTTTTTTTCTTCTTCTTCTTGGTCTTCACATCGCCAACCCACCAATTATGTAATTTTATCGAATTGAATTAAATCGATTCTGATTTCATTGAAACCGAAAAAAAGACACGGAGCGAAGAAAAGACGAGGAAAAAGCAATAACAACGAACGCAGTTCGGCATTAAAAGTCAAAATAAATGATAATTCAATTTAATAAATATATGTTTGGTGGCAAAATAATCGACCGAGCGATATTTTTTTAATGTGGCAATTTGTTTGTCATGAATATATATGAAAAAGTAAAAATCACCATGTCGTATAAGAACGCATTGTTGACCGTTTTTGGGGCTAGACGTCAACATTCGAGAATTCATAAATTGTAGCGTATTTCTCGCTCTCTCTCTCTCTCTCTCTCTCGCTCTCTCTTAAGACATTACCGAATAATTTATTGTACTCAGCAACAGCTAAAAAAGAGGAAAAAAAGCCACCGCAAGAGAAATATAGTTGCCACGAATTTTCACTACATTGAACATATTAAAATTAATGAATTATCAATTTATTTCAATGACAGAGAGAGAGATCGCGTCGTTCACATTGCAAATTGATGGCGTTTTAATAATAGTAATAATATTCATAATTTTTTTTCTTCTTTCCCATTTTTTTTTTGCGAAATATTTCTCTCATTTTCTTGACTTGAGCAGACAGAAAATTTGCAGCCCATTTCTTTTTCGAAAGGAATCGAAATTCAATGACATGTCAAGTCGGTGCTTTTGTGCAATTTTCATATTTCATGCTGCTGCTGCTGCTGTTGCTGTTGTTAATATCTTTTTTCTGTCTCTATCTCTTGATTTCTCACACGGCCAGAGAGCAGCGCCGACAGCAGAATATCAGCACAACAACTTATACCAATCCCATTTGTTTGCTAGTTTTACGAGTATTGTTAAGAAAGTAGCAAAATGTGATACACAATGATAAAAAAAAAATTCGCAATGTAGATAAAGTCAGCAGATAAACACAGCAACGGTAGCAATGAATATTGTAAACATTTTAAAACGTTCTGCGGGACACAATTTTTTGTTGTTGTTGTTACGTTCTTCAGTGTTTAATTTTTTATCCGTTGCCTTCTTCACATTTTGAAATCGTATTTCTTTCACCGGCACCGAGAAATGAATGAAGAAGAAAAAAAACGCCTTTTATGCTTACCGAAAAATATATACATTTGTCACCGTTTTCAATCGGCAAAACAACATTTATTGGACAGGTCTTGTGGATTCATTCAGTAAAAACGATTAATTAGCCGCCCCGTCGGTGCTGCTGCCGCAAAAAAAAACAAGCCAACTAATTCCTATTTTGAATGAATGACGATCGTCTCTAAGAGAAGACGAAAGAAAAAACAGTTGCCATTACTCGTCGATTTGTTATTTCAAAAGCAAAAATCCACGTGTTTCATTCAAACATGATGGCCAAAATGCTGTCGTTGCACACCTTTCTTAATCCACCGCAGATCAATTCTGAGTACATGTGTTTTTATTCGTACATTTTCTGTGACAATCAAATAAACTACAGCATTTTTTGCACTCACGCGCTGCTTTGTTGGCGCATTCTTGGCAGAGAGAGAGAGAGAGAGAGAGAAAGAGAGAGAGAGAGAGAGAGAGAGAGATCTTTCCGACAACAAAACAATAAAACTGCATTAAGAAGCGCCAATTAGACACACTCGTTAAATTGTAAACGGCCCATAAAACACACACACACAACAGTAACATATCGTTGCTACTGCAAATCAATAAATAGCATGATTTTGCCGTTGATGCTGCTGCTGCTGCTGCATTCGCCGATACTGCTATTTTGAAATTATGAATAAAATACAACAAAATATGCAATCGTAATCGTCTCGGTTGCATCTGCATCAGTCATGTAAACAGATAATTAAATATGTAAATTGCTTTGTTTGGAACAACAACAGCAAAGTGAGGATTGACTTGTAGTTAGTTACAATATGTTGGCACTTTATAAATAAATTTCGATTCGATTGTTGACTCATTCATAATTTAACGTATGGTTGGATAGCTCTGTTTAGTTTGCCTGCGTGTTTTCGTCTATGTGTGTCGATTTTTTCTTTCTTTCCTCTTTTTTTTCAATTCAATTCCAAAAAAATATATCGTTATGAATTTTTGATTTGAGGCGATTAGATTAATAAACAATATTTATAGTTTTCTCCATTAAAAACACGTATGTCTCTGTCTATTTAACATTCATTAGCATAAGAATGGGAAATGATTACCGATGTATTTATAACCATCGATTGTTCCCTCCACACACACACACACTCCACTCCACACAATGTGGACAATATCTCAGGCTCTGTGCTTCATAAATTGTTTTGTACGTTTGTTTGTGTGTGTCTTTTTCTCTCGTCTAGTCGATTTGGGTATAAAGCGCAAGAAAATGAGAAAATGAAGCGATGGAATGATACATAGTTACATGTTTCAACCTGGAATCGATTGCAAGCGCCATAATATTTAGATTTATGCCCAGTTTTTCTTTGCTGGTCTTTCTGCCATCGTCGTCGTCACTGCTTGCGCTAAGTCAAACATTCAGTTTTTTTCTCTTCCCTGTGACTTTTTTTGTTCCTATCGTGTGTGTGTGTCTGCTCAATTGTGCCAAGTCGAATGTGCCTTGTGTCTATTTGCTGTTTTGCAGCATTTTGATTTTATCAATTAAACCGTGACGACATTTATTTCTTTCGAGTGTGCCATTGCACATTTTTTCCGTTGGTTTGAGTTTGATAGCATCGAATCGGATCGGATCGATCTGTTGGGTGCACTTTTTTCTTTGAGCAACTAATCCATATTTAAAAGCCGATGCCAATGAATCAAAACTCTGGCAAAATGCAGTCGCGAAGGTGCGATCAGAAGGCTGATTCAGTGGTGGCGCGCATTGTGTACAGATGCAAACAACGACGACAAACGAGATCTCTTACGAGCGAAGGGAGTGAGAGGCAGTAAATGATCAAGAGAAAAATCATTTAATAGTTTTATTATTGTTTTCGAAAAATATTCCTTGTACTATCACTTGGCCACATATGCACTTCACCGTAGCTCATTCTGGATGAACTGTAGTCGCTGTCGCGATATACGTATCTATCTGATAATCAGATAGCTTATTGTTTGCCTTTTCTCGACAGGGAGTCTTTGACATTCGTTGTTCTCCTTGCGTTCCATTCTTCTTCTTTCTCCCTCTTTCTCTCTTCCGTCACACAAGAGCGAAACGATGAAAATATTAAGTCTGTTTTAGAAATGATGTAAATATTAAAGACGAGCATGTCTCGCGCAATTGGGATCACATCGATGTGCATCTTGCGTTCGATCGCACGAAGAAAGGCGGAGATGTGTTTATAATAATATTTCTATAAATTTGCTGAAATGAATTCTCAATTTCATTCGATGAGCCGTTCATGTAATCCATTCCTTTCGATTTTTTTCTCAACGTCTTTGTCGTCTTCTTTTCACAATTCCCTTCTCCTTTCGGTGCTATTTCAAAATATTGTCTTGATACGAGCGCTTTACTTTGCTTTTCACCGTGTGTGCTCAAGCTTCCAATAGAGACGAAAGACGAAGACCAAAAAAAGAAGAAGAAAAAATCGTCGATGGTTTTTGCTTCATAAAACTCTATTTGGATATCACCACACATCCACACACAAGCACATATTGTTTACTACCTCATTTGTTTCTTTCCCTCGCTTTTCCTTTTATGCAAAATGCACTTAACGCGACACACAAACATCGACGCAACCAGAGAAAAAAAATATCACAAACGACTAACACTCTATACGAAAAATTATATCAGGAACACAAAACCGTCATGCTTTCAACGGTTTCGATCGAAAATGATGCAAATACACATACACATGGGAGAAGCAAAAAAAAAAAATCAAAAAAATCAAATGGTAATTCAAAAGAAAGGCTCGTGCATAAAAGCCGTATAATTTATTCCAGCTTTACAAATTAAACATGCGATTTATAGTCTTTTTAGCTATTATTTTAAGTCAGTTTCTACTCGTCGTCGATGTTGCTGTTGTCGTCGTCGTGTTTTTTTTTTTCCTTTTCTATTCGTTTGCCGTTTTCGCCTATTCGATAAATTTTTTCTTCCTCTCTACCCATTTGCTTGTTTTCGTAACGGTTTATGATATTTTATGCCTTACGATTACTATTATATACCGTTCGAATTTTAGTGTTTATATGAAATTATGGCTCATTTTTGTGGTAAGCACGCCATCAGCGTACACTAACATACTAGTAGTACGAAGGAAGGGTTTTTTTGTTCTGTCTTCATGTATTGAATCAACGAACGAACCAATGAGTACACGTATTTCACCGTAAATCACCCCATCACTTGTCGGAATTGATACTTATTACTCTTTCGGCTTTTGTTGACTTGCGCATTTGTCCGTAATTTCAACGAAAACATACGAATTTTATTTCAAGGATTCGGTTTTCCATTGGTGCCATTGCACCTCAATTCATCGTGTTTTTTTCCTTCGAATTAAATATTCTGATGAAATGCGAGCTTGGCTCCACCTTTAAATTAATTTTATCGATTTCACGCGCTTCGCTTAAACTTTTTCTTCGATTGATTGTTTTTTTTCTCTCGGATGTTTCAGTCAGTGATTTCAACCGTCAATACCAGTCGTTCTTATGTTTCACATTCTCTTTATTCCGTTTCTGCAGAATTTTTCGAGTTCAGTTTCTTCATTTGATCCTTTATCATCATCTTCATCATCACAGCCACAATCACAAGACCAGTACCAGCAGCAATCATCGCAGGCGCAACAATTTTTCACCGATTCATCAGACATCTTTTCGGATATTTTATTCGGGCAAAATCATCAACAACAACAACATCAGCAGCAGCCGCCACCACCGTCGTCTGTGCAATCAAATCAATTACATCCGTCGCAACAGTCGATTGATTACAATTTTTCAACGCAATCGAATCGATTCGTGGAACATTCCAGTTCGTCAAACGAAACGTTGATAGGAAACACAGACAGTTCGTCGCATTTTGGATCAAACGATAGCATACCCAATTCGTTGGCAATTCCTTATTCACATCAACAACCACAACAGCAACCACCACCACATCAATCACACCATCCGGTTGAGCCGGATCAAAATAAGAAACTTTTCTTCGATCGCGATTCAGAGGACTTGAGCCTATTGACACTTCGATCGAACAGTGATCCAACGATTGCTTTGCACAGTTTGCAACGGGCTCGATTGCAACAACAACAACAACAACAACAACAGCAGCAGCAGCAGCAGCAGCAGCAGCAGCACATTGCATTGACAGACATTTCACAAAGTACCCCAGTTCCGGTGCCAGTGTCATCACAAGCAAACCAATCAAGCGCCGCCGCTCTTCTAGACTCAACACTTCCAAGCTTTCAAGACACTTACCCCATCAAATACAATCAGTTGGAAACATTTGGTCTCAAAATGGACGAAGATTGTTACATGCCACAAAATCATCAGGCCAACATCAACTATCATCATGGACACGGACATCAGCATCATGTTATGCAACAAGATCACTTTGAATATCAACAAAATCCCGCGCAATTCATGACACAAAACTTTTATCCTTATGAACAACAGCAAATGGTGAGGCATTTAGTTTGGATTATTTTTTGGATTTTTATTTGAACCAACAATATATTTCTTTTTTTTTCATTTGGATTTTCTAATCGTTTTCATTTGTTTTCTTTTTTCTATAAGTACGGAACGCCGATGGCTGCCCAAGACAGTTTCTCATTGCCGCCGTTCCCGAATATCTCTGAATTGCATGCAAATGCCAATCAACATCGCCGTGCATCCTTGCCATTACAACGCTCCGAATCAACATCGAGCACTGAGAGTTCGAAGACGACTCGATTGAATCTGCTAAAATCGATTCCGAGTGCATCGAGCTCTGCTTCCAGTTCACCGAATTGCATCACCAACTTGGCATCAGCCGTTGCATTGAACAATAATGATCCATCGATTGTTTCGCGCAACATTTCCACGGTAGTTCCACAGCCACTTCCGCAGAGCCCGTCGCAATTGTGCGCCGTTTGTGGTGATACAGCCGCTTGTCAGGTGGGTTAACATTTATTGTTCTTTCTGGCTTTTTTTATTGTTGACAGTATAATGAAAATTCAAAGAGGAAAAAAATTTCAAGCAAAATTTATTTCGAAAATATTAACGATTTTTTTTTATTCATCCAAAATCACCTTTGCAGCATTATGGCGTACGAACATGTGAAGGTTGCAAAGGATTCTTCAAGCGAACAGTACAAAAGGGTTCGAAATATGTATGCTTGGCCGACAAAGCGTGTCCGGTTGATAAGCGACGACGAAATCGATGCCAATTTTGCCGTTTCCAAAAATGTCTTACCGTCGGCATGGTAAAAGAGGTGGTGCGAACCGATTCGCTGAAAGGAAGACGTGGACGATTGCCATCCAAACCAAAATCACCACAAGAATCACCGCCGAGTCCGCCAGTTTCATTGATCACCGCACTCGTTCGGGCCCATGTCGATACGACACCCGATTTAGCTAATTTAGATTATTCTCAGTATTGTGATACTGCTGCCGTGTATGACTCATCGATGACCGAAGCAGAGAGAATTAAACAATTTTACAACCTATTGACCACTTCGGTCGATGTGATTAAGCATTTTGCGGAAAAATTACCCGGATTCTCTGATCTGTGCGCCGAAGACCAGGAACTACTGTTCCAAGCGGCCGCACTCGAACTGTTTGTGTTGCGAATGTCATACCGTGCACAATACGATGATGCCAAAATAACATTCTGTAACGGTATCGTTTTGCATCGGGTGCAATGCCAACGCGCTTTCGGTGAATGGCTCAACGGCATCATGGAGTTTAGCCGTGGCTTACACATGCTCGAAATTGACATCTCAGCATTTGCATGCTTGTGTGCATTGACTCTCGTTACAGGTAGGTTTTATGTTTTGGGAAAAATCATTTCATCTTAAAGTTTCTACGTATTTTGACTATCAATTTTGGGGTACATACCAAAAAAATAGAGAAAAAAATGATTCAACAACTTATTCGTGTGTTGAAAAAGAAATTATTTGTAGAAAAAATTGAATGAAAACCAATTTCTAATCAAAAATCTCATTTTTTTCGCCTCATTTTCCCGTCGCAGAACGTCATGGCATCCGTGAACCGAAGAAAGTGGAGCAACTACAGATGAAAATAATCAGCAGTCTTCGTGATCATGTTACCTATAATGCTGAAGCACAAAGGAAACCGCATTATTTCAGCCATATTTTGGGCAAACTACCCGAGCTACGGTCACTCAGCATGCAAGGAATGCAACGAATTTTCTACTTAAAATTGGAAGATTTGGTCCCCGCACCACAACTCATTGAAAACATGTTCGTCAGCAGTTTGCCATTCTAAATCGGCCAGACGCTAACGGCATCCGTAAGCTTATTTCAATAATGACCGCTGCATTTCAATAATCCCTTGATTTCCTTTTTCGATTTTATCCATGTTTTTATTCCGGTGTCTGCATTTTCAATTGCGCCCTTCAGTGTATTTTTTTATTTTTCAATATACTTCATTCACAAGTGCTTATCGAATTTGATAAATTTAGAACTTTTTAGATGAATATTTTCTCATAATTTAAAAAAAAAAAACAAGATGAAAATCCATCACTAAAAAAATCAATCCTTTTATTTACTACGTAAATGAAGATTTTACTCATGTAGCTTTAAATGTATATGATTTTTGGATATCACGAGACTTTATGATTTCAACCGAGAAAAAAAATACACACATTCTATGTTCCCGTTCAACACAGAATCTCTTGAGAATGAGCATTAAACACACACAATTGATGTCTTATAATGTTAGATAGTAAGGAAGCCAATCAGTTCAAAGAGAGATTTTGATGGAGTAGCTTAGGAACAAACAATTATTTTTCTAGTAATTAAGTGTGAATTCAAGAAGAAAAAAAAATCTTAAAGATGAAAAGAAAAGCCCAATTTTATTTGATAAAAAAAACGTAATTTTTAGTATTTAGTTTGAGAGTAAATAAATGTTCTAAGGCAACAATAACATTGGATTTTTGTGTACTGAATCTGAAGTATCACCATGGTGAAGTGGATATGTTTCAACTCTGAAAATAAACAATGTTTCAACTCCTTTCATTTCTAATGGGTTGCTAATGGTCCATTAATGGACCCATCTAATTAGATTTGGTGTATCAAAACCAGTAGCAAAATTAGCTGTTCTGTATAGAAAACAATGTAATTATTACTTTGATTTTGTACGATTTGAAAAATCGAAATTCTGAATTTATGACATAGTTTTAAGTGATTTTTGTGATTTCCATTGAGTTCAATTGAATTTCTTTCTTTTCTGATTTTCTTTTTTGTTGTAAACAAAATAAATTATGTAAGATTTGCATAAGTTTTCATAAGTTTTTTTAATTTGACAACCGTTTTCACAGTTAAGTTTTATTCCTTTTTGTTTTTTTTTTTTAATTTTGAATATATTTTGTTGCGCAACCCTTAATCCAATTGAGAAAAAAACACAAGGAGACGAAAAAAATATATGCTAGAATAGTTTAAAATAATATGTTATACACTCTATCATCATACTATTACTCAATACAACCACAAAAAACAACAACAACAAAAATCCGACATAGTGAATGTATCCGTTTTATATAGTATATGTGTGTGCGTTGTTATGTAGATACAATTTTTATTTGATTATTATTTCTGTTACGTTAGTTTTTTTATTATTCAATTTGTCGAGTTTTATCCAGTTTTGCTTTGATCTATTTCTTCCATATTTTTTTGTTAACACATTTTTTACGTGCTCTAATTTTTAAGTTTTTTCTATCGCTGACTACACATCGTTTGATCAGGACACATGTATAAAATTCAATATTCTTGTTGATCCGAATCCAGTGTTGCTTCCCTTCGATGTATGTTTCGATTCAAAGTTGTGTACATCCGTTATTTATGCATTGCATCCATCAATTATTCACATGTTCATTACCAGTTCTTATTTGAAAATTGAAAATCTGGTATTATTGGTTGTTTGTTGAAAACAAAAGCAAAACAACACACCACATGCGATTGACGTCATCCATTCCGTTTCAGGAACCGATAAACAAAAAACAACAACAACAACAACACCGAAATAGGGAAATTCTGTGGTTTTACTTTTCCAATTGAACGCAATTAAATATTCAATTTGCTGAGTCAGACATTGTCTAGCGCACGATATGTTGGATGAGACCGAAAGTATATACACAGCGATAGAGAGAGGGTGAGTCAATCATTTCTCATAATTTCTCGAAAAGGAAAAAAAAAACTCAAACCAGATCGATTCAATCGCCACTCGCCTCCTTGCTATCCGCACATAATTGATTTCTATTGCCAGTTCCGAATCGGATATTACGACGTTGTGCATTACCGGACTCGTGCTAAGGCGATAATTTGTGTCGATTTTCTCGTCTTTCATTCGACATAATCAGCAGCAATTTTGTTGACTAGCTTGCGGTTACGACGTGTCAACACTTGATTTGTGAATTACCGGTGTCGAAATCAATGGTAACTGACTCGAATTGAGGGGATTGAACGCAGCGAAACCATTGAGCCATGTTGTTGTTTGAAATTTCGAAGAAACAATAAAGACACTTTTTTTCTTTTCCATTTCCATTGAACACTTCAGGACGAAAGATTCTTCAGTGAGAAAAATAGGCTTGTTCACGATGTGCCTGAATGAGCTTCCACCAAACAATGAACATTTCGTGTCTGTTGTCACTATCGGGCAAATCACCAAAATTGCCCCTCGGACACTCTCTCTAACTTTCCCTCACCACCCAAAACACATGACTTATTTCAATACTCAAAACTGTAATTTAATGGCATTTGATTTGAATGACAAACAATTTGTTTGGAACAAATGACGACAGTTCCAGTAAATAAACAAATGATCAACAACTGTGAGCTAAACTAAAAGAGGAAAATGATGGAATGTTAAAAACATGTGTGTAGCCAGCGCCAAATTTGTCATTCAGTAAACGAAAAAAAAGTAACTCTTTCACTGCCTTTTATTTCTCTTATTTAGTTACCATTTATTTGCCATTGATTAAATACATATTATTTATACACAACATATATTATTATACTCAAATTCTAAATGCGAATTAATCTGAACATGAAATAGTAGGTGTTTGCAAACTAGTTGCCTGAATATTGTTTTCCTCTGCTGTTTTCCTTTTGCCAACTAGAGAGCAACAATATTTTTAAAAGCATAAGACATAATGGGGATATTACAAATAATTTCCTTTCTATGAGAATAAACATAATTAATCAAACACATTACAGAAGTTAAACATAAAAATCACCATAAACCTTTCAGTTAAATCCCGCCTAAATCAATGGGTGTTAGACTAGAAAAACAACATCTGTGTCCAGTAGCAAAACAAATGAATTGAACAATTCAAAGAATGAACAAGTTTGATTTACACAAATACATACACACCGTAACGAATGTTGAAAAAGCAACACAAGTGCCATTTGAATGAGATATTTTTTCATATATGAAACGAATAAACATGAAGAAAACACACATTGAACGAAAAACGATTTTTATACATTGCGTGTAAACAGAGGACAAACAATAAATTGTACAATCTGAATATACCTTTATAAATTTTCTATGCGTATCCAGATTGTGAACTGGATTCGATTTTCAATCGATGAGACAAAAAATAATGATGATGAACTGGTGTTCATTCATTGAACACACCGAATGAATTTTAACGATTGCCTTCTCTATAACAAACATATTTTAGTTCTTTTTTTCGTGGATACTTTTTCAACTGGAGTTAGAGCTTGAGGTTTGCATTAAATTGCATCTTGGTGATAGGCAAATGTTTTTTCTATTTTTTTTAACAAATGAAATGATATAGAAGAGAAATTGATTTGCATTTAGTAATGCACGAGATTTATAGAAAAGTGAAGAGGATGCATCAAATAGGAAACTGTATTGCATTTCAACAGAAAGAAAGATAAAAATGATACAATATTTGTTTAGCGATCAAAACTGTCTCTGTCTCGAGCTGATCCTCGTCTATCTCATCCCTGATTTCATGAACATTGCGATTAGAGAGTTAACAATGTTGCGTTACAACGAAAGTGTTGTGCTTAATGAATGCGAAAAAAATTGAATTATTTTAGCTAACGTACATATTTTGGAACACAAATACGTTCTCTCCAAGAGAGAGAATCACTTCGAAACGAAAATGTCAAAATTGAATAATTTTTTAAAATGATGAATATGACAATATGCTTCATTTTTCGTTGTGAATGTGTTTTTTGGTTTGGTCTTAGACTTATGAATGTGTCTAGCTAGAGTGTCAATTCCAAAATATTTTTCGTTCAAATTTTCTTATTATTTTCGGAATCAAACAAAGATGAATCGCATTTTTTTGTCATCAAACATTGCGTTAAGAAAAAATGAAGAATCATGAATGTAACGAAAACATATCTCTCCTTCGACCCCTCCAACAAACAATTTATGATTAAGAATTTAAATTGTTATAACCGATCTAATGCGCACTTGCTATCTCATTTAAATATAAATATACATATATATATTTTTCTAAAAGAATGTGTCTGGGCGATGCAATGCAATCCGAATATATCGAAGTGATTTTTATCATCGATATCTCAATGGATTCGCATTGACTTATTTAATGAATGAACAATGTTAAGAATATATATATATATACTTGTTAAGTTCAAAACAACAGATGCACTTAAATATTAAATTAGCTAAAACTCTAAACTTAATACTCCTAAAATGAACCCTTATACACAATATTATATTCTTGTTACATTTAAATATAGATTATTTCAAGCAAAAATTCACGTGATGTTTGTTTTGTATCATTAGAACCAATATGTGAGTTTCATAGCTCCTTCGGCTTTTTGCGTGTTTACTGTGCTCGCTTGTCGAACTAGACGATGCATTGATGGTCGACGTTGCCTTGTACTCAATGGTATTCGTTCGGTTTCACTATTTCCATCCGGTTCCATTATCATGCTGCCAATCGTATGCAATTCTAGATCTTGTTGCAAATCATCTATGTTCTCGTACGATGCATTGTGGGATGTTTGAGGTCTGTATGGAGAAATAAAGTGAATTAACATGTGTAAGAAAATTGTTCTAGAGATAATGTTCAACGGATATTTCAGCAAAAGTGTCTTTCTTACTTTATTGGAATACAACGACAACAGTCCTCTATATCCCAATCTTTGCCAAACTCTTCCCCTTCTGTGAATATATCGAAAATTGAATGTTTTCAAGTGACCAAATCATTGAATATCAAAACAAAAATAGTAAGTTGTATATTCCAAATGGTGTCTCACCTTCAAGCGTTTGCGGCAAACGATAATGCAATGTTTCTGGTAGACGCAAGCCGGTTATTCCTCCAAAAATCGATATGAATCCCATTACAACGAGAGGAAGACGAAGATTATCTTTGCCCTGAAATGGTTTCCGATTTTATTACACACAAAATATGAACTAATGCCCTTAAGCAGAACCTTGTTTTCTTTTGAAAATAATCATCTTTTCCTGAGTTCATTAAGATGTTTATCATTTGCTAAAATAATCTGTTTGGCTTTCAATATCAAAATTGATGCTTCCAATCATTTGATATCATACCAGGTAATTGATGAACGGTATCACGATCAATCCAAGGCCACCAATATAACTCGATGTACCGATGCCAACACCTCTCACCTGTGTCGGGTACAATTCTCCAGCGAACGGGTAAATGATAAGAAATGATGCGGAGATCATGGTTTTCGATATCAGAAATATGATTAGCGTCTCTAAGACGGCTTCATCCGGCACAAGAACGGTTATTATGCAGAAAATTCCACTGAAAAAAGTAAATTTTTCTTCATTCAGAAATGTTTTCTCATTGCGAATTGTACAATTCTTGTGTGCTTGCATGATTTTTGACAGTATCCCGTATTGAGTGAAGTAAATCATATGTTCACAAAATGTTCTATTTTTAAATTTTTTACCTCAAAATCATCAACAAACACATTGGCCATCGTCGGCCCCATTTATCCATGATGAACCAACAGCATAAATAGCTTGGAATTTCCACTGCCGATGAGAGAAAGAAGCTCAAATGCTGATTATCACCAAGCGATGGTCCATAGTAGCTTAGGCCGAGATAAACTGTTTCGTTTGCAAACCAATTCAATGTAATCAAAAGTGTCTTCAAGCGCATATTTGGTGTTCTGTGAATAAGAATGAACGAAAATCAATTTTTCACTTTTTTTTTCTGTGTGATTTTTACGAATGATTCAGAGATGAATGCAAAATAATCCATCAAATATGCCTTACTTGCATAGATCAAAACTGTTGAGCGACTTGACGTTTTCCTTCACACGTAATTTATCCGCTTCGACACGTTGGTGTAATTTCAAACGGAAGCTATTCGGCAATTGATTGCCATTGACTCTAGCCATAACTTCCAATATGTTCAATGCTTCTTCGAATTTCCCTTGTGCTAACAGCCAACGTGGACTCTCTGGCATGATGAACAGGTACAAGAAGTAAAATATGAACGGCACCGATGTGTACAGGCACATTTCAACCCAATTTGGAACTAGGTACGTTACACCGGCCAACATCATTATGCCAAATGTGTAGAAGATGCATGTCATTGCTGTGACGAATGAACGATAATCTGGTCCAACCAATTCCAGAGCTGAAAATGTCAACATTTTATTGAAAATCGTTTCTTTTTTGTACCGAAATTATCGCAATTTTGCTTGAAGATGGAGTCAAATTTCTTGGAGTTTACCTATGATAAATGGAATCTGATAAACGGCCGGTATCGTCAGTCCAACAATGACTCGGCTAAAACACCACATCCAAAAGTTGAAACTGGCCGCTGTGATGAGACTGCCCGCGATTAATGTGGCCAAACATGCAAAGTACGCGATTCGTCTACCAGCCCGATCATTAAGTATGCCAAACAAATAAACTCCAATGGGACCGCCCACATTTAGTGCACTTAATCCAATTGTTGGATAGATATCATGATCACACACCAAATCAAACTACTTAAAATATTCACGAGAACGAAAGAGAAAAAACATTCATTTAGTTTTCCAATGGCACTGAATAAAACCCATTGATTACACCACACATCGATGTGGTTGAATCGATAATTCCTTACATCGATTACAATGGAAGATGTCACGTGTGTTTTGTTGTATATCCAACCGTTGTAGCATGGTTCGGTTGGCCATGATGCATTTGGTTGCAAGTCCCACATCGAATCTGGGTCAGAGATATTGAACACATTCTGCCAATCGATTGCATATCGAGAGCATTTGCTGTACTGTGTGACACCGTTTTCCTTTTGCAAAATGATAAAAACAAATCGACATTTGATTTAAAAAATACAAGTTGATGGGGTAAAGTTAGCGTTGCGCTGTGCAACTCACCTCAGTACTCGGTATGGCCAATTCACGAATCCGTTCACGGGTCAAATTGAATTCACTCAACTGTGGCACTTGACACCAGTAATCGTCCGGTGTATCGGTCATAAACAACTGATTGAACGCACAAAATCCACATGGTATGCAGGCAGGCAGGCAAATGAACCACAGCAACAACTTTTGATAGCGTCCAAATTCGCCCAGCACTGGCAGCAGGTCATCCAAATCTAGTGGTTCCTTTGGAATGGTTTTTTGGATCGATTTATTTTCTTTTCCTTTCCAAATGTATTACGAATTCTTTTTTTCAATTTTTTCTCTTCCATTTTTCATTAATTTTACAGAATTATTCAAAATTTTCACTATTTTCTCCTTCTCTTTCGAGTAATTTC